CCAGTGCTTTACAAAGCACTTAATAATAAATATTTATGAACAGCATTTGCAGGGTTGATGAAGTCACCTGCATGTCTGCACCTGCTAGGTATTTCTTCTTTTTGATGTAAACAGACTCTATTTAGGAGTTATGAGAAAAGGACTGGTCCATTTGTCTGCAAAATTGCTTTTATTTCAATAATTCAAGCACTGCACTAGATGGTTCATCAATGTTGAGACCTGCTATTAATCAGATCTGGGTGTATAATTGACTACAGCTCATGAAAACTGAAATGGTTTTCATGTGTGATTTTCACATCAGTACTGCCAATGGGCTTTGAAAGAAAATGAAAATTGTGCAAGATTGCCTGACTGGAATGAAGGAAGTATTCAAAAAGCAACTCCTGCGATTTTATTTTTTTTAAAAGGATCCAGCACAGTACTCTGTTACACCAATATCTTGTGGATATAATTACTAGTGGGCCAAATTCTATTGTAAATCCAGAGAAATGCTTCAAAGGAATTACTGCAGATTTACACAACAGCAAAAGTGGGCCTGTGTCTTCCATAGTTATATTGGTGTAAAACTGGTGGAACAAAGTGGGGGATCAAGCCCAAACCTGAGCTGAGAGAAAAAAGGAAAATTGAAGCCCAAAGTTTCAAATATCCAAAGGTGACAGGAGGAGGGATGTGGAAGGTCCCCATGTCCAGGCTGAAGGTGAAGAGACTTTTTCCTAGTGCAGTCTGAGAAAATCTGACCTTTGCTATTTGGAGCGGCATTATGTTGGGGGTGAGGAGTGATCAAGAGCAACCCTGTGTAAGCAGGGCTCACAGAAGCTGCAGGATGAAAGCAAGATGGAGAATATTTTGCTCTTCTTCATAAAAGAATAGTTTATGTCCCCATCTAGTGCTTAGTCTGCACCACAGAATCCAAGAATCTCATGATACCATCTAGATGTTTCATAAGTTTTTAAGTGTTTCCTGACTCTTAGTTGTTTGCTAATTAATGATTCTTATCTGCCCCCTTTGACTATCTAGTCTTTAGGTACTTATAGACTCGGCTTTCCCTTGATATATATTTTACCCACTGCCTTTTCTTGTCCCTCCCTCCCAATCTTCCTTTCTTCCAACCCCCCACCCCCCGCCATCTCCCCTATTTACTTTGGTCCTAGACATCCAATACTCGGGTCATCTGAAAAAGTGGACTTTTGTTAGTCTATAAAATGCTACCAGACTATCTGTTGTTTTTTCAGTTTACACTGTATACATAGCCAGGGATCACCACTATCTCAGTCTCAAATACAACCACCACCAGCCCTTGGCATGTGGTATGCTGGACAGGGCATCCTAGCACGCACTTTAGCACTCAATGTTCAACACTGATCTGTTTCTGGACAGAGGGGAGAAAGATGTTCCCCATGCCCTTTCCAGCCATAGTAAATCCATGATGCAAAAGACAGTTTTGACTTATTTGTTTAAGATTCACTGAAGATAATATTTTCCCAAGAATAGCTTTTACACATCATAACAAACTTTTGGTTTGTGACTTAGGGTATGTCTACATGGCTACTTCAGGATACCAGATGTATCACAAAACAGCCACACCGCGTCTATACAAGCCACCCATTATTTCAAAATATTTTTAGAAATAACATGCATCCTATTTCACCATCCCGGTAACCCTTGTTGCAAAAGGAATAAGGAATAGCTTGAAATAGCATATTATTTTGAAATCTGGCACTGTGTAGACACTCCAAATTTCAAAACAAGCTATTTCAAAATAGTTTCAAAATAAGATTTGCAATTTGCAGGGCTTGACAAATGGCAGCGAAACCTACTCGCTAGCCCTGCACTGCGCATGCGTAAGACCCTCATTGCACATGCGCTCACCGCCGATGAGTAGATTCAGTGATTTGTCAAGCCCTGGCCATTTGCATAGAGTAACTTGCATATCTTATTTTGAGTTTAGGGTGCTATGTAGACACACCCCCAGACTGATTTATGGCATTAAATGCTCCCATTCATTGTCTACGAAAAGAAAGCTGATGGTATCACAAATTTTCTCTGGAGAACACTTACAGAAACCAATAGCATTTACACAGTAAATTGAGATCTTCATTATTTTTCTCAGTATCATTACAAAGCAGTTTGCATTCTAGAGAGAGTCAGAGTGTAATTTTTTTCTGGATAGTTTACAAAGTATTTTGTAGTTACATTGCCTCACTGCTGAAGAAATATTAATGTAATGCTACAAAATATGAACAATTCTTTACAAATCCATTTATCTACTTGAACTGGTTATCCTTTTAGAGGTGGTGAAGTTCAGTTTAGATTTTCTTCAGTTCTGAATCTGGCCAAAAGAGGTCAAGAGTGCATAGACATCACAGAACTAAAAGGAGGGCAAAAGTGAATGAGTAAGGACACTGCTTTAGGACCTATACTTCATATATGAATACAGTTTCCTTAAAAATAGAGGGGAAGGAGAGCTACAGTACTGTTTAATATTTTAATGATAATATGCTTTTCTATCATATGACAAAGCTAGGGGGAGAGGTAGATATGTTGGAGGGCAGGAATAGGGTCCAGAGTGACTTAGACAAATTGGAGCATTGGGCCAAAAAAATGTTAAGAGGTTCAACAAGAACAAGTGTAGACTCCTGCACTTGGGATGGAAGAATCCCAAGCACTGATACAGGCTGGGGACTGACAAGCTAAGTAACAGTTCAGCAGAAAAGAACATGGGGATTAGAGTGGATGAGAAGCTGGATATGAGTCAACGGTGTGCCCTTGTGGCCAAGAAGGCTAACGGCATATTAGGGTGCATTAGGAGGAGCACTGCCAGCAGATCTCGAAAAGTGATTATTCCCTTTTATTCAGTACTGGTAAGGTCACATCTGGAGTACTGTGTCCTATTCTGGAGGTCCCATTATAGAAAGGATGTCGAAGCATTGGAGAAAGTCCAGCAGAGGGCAACAAAAATAATATGGGAGCTGGAGCACAAGACTTATGAGGAGAGGCTGAGGGATTTGCGCTTATTTAATGTACAGAAGAGTGAGGGAGGATTTGATAGCAGACTTTAACTACCTGGAGTTTCCAAAGAGGATGGAGACAGTCTGTTCTCAGTAGAGAGAATCATAGAATCATGGAGCTGGAAGAGACTTCAGGAGGTCATCACGTCCAGCTCTCTGCTGAAGGCAGGACCAATCCCAACTAAATCAACCCAGTCAGGGCTTTGTCAAGCCGAGACTTAAAAACCTCAAGGGATGGAGATTCCACCACCTCCCTAGGTAACCCATTCCAGTGCTTCACCACCCTCCTAGTGAAACAGTTTTTCCTCATATCCAACCTAGACCTCTCCCACTGTAAGTTGAGACCATTGCTCCTTGCTCTGCCATCCGTCACTACTGTAACCAGCTTTTCTCCATCCTCTTTGGAACTTCGCTTCAGTAAGCTGAAGGCTGCTATCAAATCCCCCCTCACTCTTCTCTTCTACAGACTAAACAAACCCAAATCCCTTAGTCTCTCCTCATAGGTCATGTGCTCCAGCCCCCTAATCATTTTTCTTGCCCTCTGCTGGACCCTCTACAATGTATCCATATCCTTTCTATAGTGGGGGCCCCAGAACTGGACACAATATTCCAGATGTGGCCTCACCAGAGCTGAATAAAGTGGAATAATCACTTCTCGGGATCTGCGGGCAATACTCCTCCTAATTCACCCTAATATGCCATTAGCCTTCTTAGCTACAAGGGCGCACTGTTGATTTAAATCCAGCTTCTTATCCACTGTAATCCCCAGGTCCTTTTCTGAAGAATTGCTACTTAGCCATTCAGTCCCCAGCCTGTAACAATGCTTGGGATTCTTCTGTCTACACTTGTCCTTGTTGAACCTCATCAGATTTCTTTTGGCCCAATCCTCTAATCTGGCCAGGTCACTCTGGACCCTATCCCTGCCCTTCAGCATTTCTACCTCTCCCCCTAGTAGACGGTATGTCTACACTTACAGCCTAATTTGAACCAAGGCTGCAAATGTAGGCATTCGGAATTGCAAATGAAGCCCAGGATTTAAATATCCCGCGCTTGATTTGCAAGTTCCCAGCCGGTCACCATTTTTTAAACTTACAAGCCCGAACTAACTGCCCACATCTACAAGTGGCAGGGAAACGGGCGTTCAAAATAAAGCCTTATTCCAAACTACCTGTTAAACCTCATTGTAGGAGGACTGCCATTAAACCTCCTTGCAGGAGGAATAACGGTAGTTCAAATTAGGAGCTTTAATTCGAACTACCTAGCCCGTGCCATGTGTAGCAGGTAGTTCGAACTATGGGCAAAAAAAAATGGTGCCCGCCTGGGAACATGCAAATCAAGCATGCGATATTTAAATCCTGGGCTTTTTTTGCAGTTCTGAATGCCTACATTTGCAGCCTTAGTTCAAATTAGGCTGTGAGTGTAGACGTACTGTTAGTGTCATTCGCAAATTTGCTGAGTATGCAATCCATCCCCTCATTCAGGTCATTAATAAAGATGTTGGACAAAACCAGTCCAAGATCAGATCCTCCACTAGAAACTGACCGCCAACCTGACATAGAGCCATTGATTACTACCTGTTGGGCCCGACAATGTAGCCAGCTTTCTATCCCTCTTACAATCGACGTATCCAATCCATATTCCCTTAACTTGCGGGCAAGAATATTGTAGGAGACCGTATCAAAAGCTTTGCTAAAGTCAAGGTATATCACATCCACTGAATTTCCCATATCCACAGAGCCAGTTACCTCATCATAGAAGCTAATCAGATTGTTCAGGCATGACTTGCCCTTCATGAATCCATGTTGACTATTCCTGATCACTTTCCCCTCTTCCAACTGCTTCAAAATGGATTCCTTGAGGAACCCCTCCATGATTTTTCTGGGGACTGAGGTAAGGGTGACTGGTCTGTAGTTCCCTGGATTGTCCTTCCCTTTTTTAAAGATGGGCACTACATTTGCCTTTTTTCCAATCATTCGGGATCTCTCCCAATCTCCACGAGTTTTCAAAGATAATGGCCAAAGGCTCCACAATGACATTTGCGCCAACTCCCTCAGAACTCTTGGATGCATTAAATCTGAGAGATGACAGAATGAGGCGCAGTTTCTCAAGTTGCAGTGGGGGAACTCTAGGTTGGATATTAGGAAAAACTATTTTACTAAAAGGGTCGCGAAACACTGGAATGGATTACCTCAGGAGGTGGTGAAATGTCCATCCATAGAGGTTTTTATATCCTGTCTTGACAAAACCATGGCTGGGATTATTTATTTGGGGTTGGTCCTTCTTTGGGCAGGGTGTTGGGTTCAATGACCTTCTGAGGTCTCTTCCACCCCTATGATTCTATTAATATATTTTCCAGAATGACATTATTTGTACCTTTGAGCACAATACAGATTCTCAGTGAACACTTTTTGTGGCATCCATAATTCCTATATATAGGATTTCACATTGTGGCAATCTGTTCTTTGAGCCTTGTCTAACGTGACCATAAGGCCACCATATGTGAGGGCAAAATCTATATTTGTTGTTTAAGATACAGTTGATGCATTATCTTTCCTCTATGTATCAAGAGTGATTTCTGTGGTAATTTCACATGTGCACCATAGCAGAATTTGGCCCTATAGATTCAAGATTAGGAAACAGACTGATAGCCAGGATTAAATAAATGGCTTAAACCATTCTGTCCTCTTCCACTTAAAAATAGTTCTAGTCTGGAAAGTGTCTGCAAAAATGGCATTGGAGGCAGGATGGAGAGAGAGGTAAGGACTCCATGTGCACTGCATATGAACATGTAAAACTTTGTGTGATGGGAGAGGCAGAAAGAGGGCAGCATGCTAATATTCCCTCCTCCTGAGCAGCTGTTCAAATCCATCTAAACCAGTTTACAGTATTTAAGATTAAATTTTTAATTTGAGTTTATGTTAATATATAAAGATGTACTTACTGCAATCAGCTTCATCTGACAGGTCCTTGCAGTCTGGTTTGTAGTCACAAACAAGGTGAGATTCAATACAATCCTTATTCCAACACACAAAATCAGAGAGTGCTGGGCATTCTCTAGGACTCTCTCCAACTGAAACCAACAGGACACTTAAATCAATACTTTAATTAAATCAAAGCATGACCTCTTTGATTTGTTTATCCATTATACACTATCGCTTTGCTGATTTACTGCTTCCAACAGATGTTATTCAATCCCACTCTCTCTTAATAATGTCTTGTGCCTGCCTAGACTGCTATATTGGTGGTACTCAAAGCTCTCAGGATGCAATGTTTGGTGGATAGGAATTCATTTCCACATCAGCAACACTCTTTTCCTAATTTATTTGTTGTGTGATACCTGTGCATGCAATTCAATTTGCTAGAAACTGTTATAAAGAGTACAGGGCAAAGGATTAAACCTGATCTCAATATATGCTAGAACTTGGAAATTGCCTGAAATTATCACTATGCTACTTTCATACAGTGCATAGCTTTCAGAAGTGTTGCAAGTCATTTAACTGTGTGAGATTTTTCAGTGTGTGCCAGAGAAACCAATTGCAGGAAACGTGCAGGCTGCATGGGGATTCATCTTAAACTACTTAAAATGAAGATTCATTTTACCAGAACAACTTTTCAATCACTCTTCAATCTGGGTAAAATAGCAGAGACGTGTGAATGGGAATGAATGAATGAATAAGTTGCAGCATGACACCCAAGGAATGAGCCAAGACCAGAGAGCTCTTGGATTCAGTCCTCAGAGATCTGTCAGGCTTAAGATACGGATGTAAATGTTCATCAAGTGGCTCAGTGAACTGGCCACATAACTCCAATTAGCATTAATAGGAGCTGTGCTGATAACCCAAAGCACCACATTTAAAATGCATTCCTACAAGTTTGAGATTATTTTTTCTCCCCATGCCTCAAGCTGTTCAGTGATACACACAGGAGAATGTGCTTTGACTGTACTCCCTGTAATTTGTTATATAGCTCCTTCAAACATGACTGAAGTGGGATTCATCATCAGCTACAGTTCTGGGCAAAACAACTTCAGGTGTGTAAAGGTCTAAACCCAACATTTTTAAGAGAGTTTGTTGATTCTGTATGCCTCTCAAAACATGGATAGCACGGCTTCAGATGGCTAACATCCGATAGTCAGTAGCAGACCCACAAGCTCTCCTAGAAGCCAAAATGAGAAAGCAAAATTAAATCCTACTCCCACAGAGCATATGAACAGGAGATATTCAAAAATACATGAGATGTAACTCAGATCCTTACAGCATATAATTCAAAGGGAGTTCAATTACCGGGATACTAAAATATAGCACTGACTGAGGCAACTCTTCATATACTATACCATAAGAACCTATGAATAGTATTGGCCCTTAAATCCAAAGATCTCAAAATTTGTAATGAACAATAATAAGTAAATAATAATAATTAATAATAATAAAATTAAAAATTAAGCAGTTTTACAGATTAGGAAATTGAGACACAGAATGTTTAAGTGATATTCTTAAGGGTATCAGGGACTCAAGTGACTTAATAGAAACAGAAATAGAACCCAGGTTTTCAAAATACCATATATTTTCTTTAAAAGATAAGGTAGTTGAGGTAATAGCTCTTCCATCAGCCCTGTATAAGATCAAAATCCTATCTCTTTCACTAATAGAATTGGTCCAGTAAAAGATACTCTCTCATCCATTTTGTCTTGCTAATACCTTAGAACCAGCATGGCTACAACAACACTGCAATATATTTCTTAACTAATTTAAAAATTAAAAATATCTCTGGCAGTTAACTGGGAACTGTTAAGTTGAGCTGTTATGAAGACTGGATGAACTACCCAAACTGCACAGCTGAATAGATGTACTTATTGGAAAATTTGGGTCTGGATTCAAAACATTGTGGCTTGGACTCTTCTGGAATAAGGGCTATTGTAATCTTGAGTGGGCTAGACTTCACTGCCCTTCTCCAGTTTTAAAGAAACCACCACTTCCACTGCAGTACTGGAGACCCAGAGATTAGTCTGTAAGGAATTTCAGCAAGGATGGCACAGTGTCAGCCTCACTACATTCAAGTTCCAAAAGAATGAATTTAATTAAATAACTTTATAAAACTTTATGAAGACACAAATAATCTAATTCTTACAACAGAACACAGCTATTTTATACCCCACAAATAATATCTATAATTACAATAAACATAAGTAAAGAGAAAACTAAAAGTGAAATTTGAACAGTTCAGTCCACACAGACACAGTAAGAAAAGACTGAAAGGTCCCAAGAGCTTAGATTTGGTTCACCAAAGTCTCAGTTTGCGCCTCTGACATCAAATCTGCACCATATGCTGAGTTTTAAGTCTCTCCCCACTTGCTTGTAAGGAATCGTCAGTTGGAGTCCTGGCAGACTGTTCCTCTGCTATGGTCACTGCTAGGCAGCCAGCTCACTGATTACTAGTTAGTTAGCTCACAAGTGAACAGACTTAAAGAAACCCTGCTGCAGAGTGAGGAACAGCAGCCAGTTCTCTGCTTCTGGCTTAACTTCATCCAGCTCACACTGGACATAGAAAAGCATCTGCCCTGCCTGCTTACTCATGAAGTCTGACCCCAAACTACTGGACCCAATTCCAGAAGCTTCTGGGTGGAGTGCTGAATCAGCCCAGCAACAGTAACACTCAACTCACTCCCACAGGGGTCTCTTAAAGAGCTTCCTATTAAGTGCATGGGTTACATTCTCCCCTGCTTAAATCACTGCCATCCTGGCAGTGCACCTGAGTCACAATCCAAAATATCCTGCTTCTGTTATTCTGCACAGGCAAGTAATGAGGACAGGTATGTACGATAGGCTTGTATCAACTGAGTCTGTTGTTTTTAGAATAGTGGGGAAGTCAAGAACATAATCATTGTACTTAACAGGACGAGTTCTAATTCTACCAGTTCTGCGAGGTTCCACTGGTGCTTCGGCAGTGGTTGGAGCAACAGAAGGATTCACACTGTCTTTTGTGGAGACCATATCTGGTGAATTTTCCCCATATTGTGTCTCTTCCACTTCAGTTTGGATCAAACTCTCTTACCAGAGGGTTAAGATCGGACTCCTAGATCAAATCAAGTATGGATTCATCTTCGTTCTCCATCTGAGTGACCACTTCAGTAATTTTCTGTCTAGTTCTGCTACTCACAGGGGTCTCCAACTGATTGTCTTCTATTGATTCACGAGCAGAAATATATCCACATGGTCTTGACATGTCCTAATGAAGAATTTGAATGGGAACATCTCTAGATTCTGTCTGTACCTTATAAACAGGGATATTGTCTTTTATCTGCTCTAGTACCACATGTACTACTGACTCCCATCTATCTGCAAGCTTCTGCTTTCCTCTAAGACTCAGGTTGTGTACTAGAACTCTATCTCCTGGTTCTATGGTTGACATAATTACTTTGGCATCCCATCATAATTTGTTGGCTAATTGGCTTTTTTCACTTTCTTTAGCAGCTAGGTCATATGCATAACGAAGCCTACATCATAAATCTCTTACATATTCCTGATGAGTTATTTCTTGCCTTCTGGCTTTAATCCCAAAACACTAATCAATACGTAGTATGGGTTGCCTCCCAAACATCAAAAAATATGGGGCATGTCCTGTTGTATCATTCTGGTACAGTTATATGCATGAACTATGGTTTGACATACTTCCTCCAGTTGGTTTTCTTAGGCTTTTCTAGAGTACTTAACATATGTAGTAAAGTACGGTTAAACCTCTCCACTGGATTCCCTCTTGGGTGATAAGGAGTTGTATGTGATTTTACTCCAGCAATATTACTTAACTCAATAATCAATTCTGATTAAAAGTTGGAACTCTGATCACTGTGAATTCATCGAGGAAACCCACAGTGAAAGATAAAATTCTCCCAGAGCACACTTGCTACAGTTTTGACTGGCTGATCTTTCGTTGGATAAGCCTGAGCATATTTAGTGAAGTGATCAGTTACCACAAGAATATTCTTAATGCCCGAAGCATCTGGCTTTAATATTAAAAAGTCTATGCATACCAGTTCCATAGAAGCATATACTTTAATGTTCACTAGCTCAGCAGCTTTTTCCACTCGAGCTTTTCTTCTAATACAGCGCTCACACTCTTGACATTTCCTTTCTACTACCTTGGTCATTCTAGGCCAATAAAATCAGTCTGTAGCTAATTCCAGAGTTCTTTAAGTCCCAAGATGACCCATCATGGATACATTCTAATGCTCAATCCTGATGTGTGTAGGAGATTACTAGCTGGTCTATATCCTCTCCTCTCCTCTGGACTTTCCGAAACAAGACCCCATTTGAAAGGAAAAGCTTGGGCCATTCCCATAAATATAACAGTGTCTCATATTCTTCTTTCTTTTCCTCCTCTGGCTTGGGTCTATATCCTGCCTCAAGGAAGTGAATCACATGGGATATATATCTGTCACGTTGCTGTAAGACTTTCCAATCAATAGAAACTGAATCTGAAGGACTTAGACTTCCTGGCCAAGGATCTGGATGCTGAAACTCTGGTGGTAGGCTTTCTGCAGTACTAGGCAAGGTTTCTACAAAATTTGGAGCAACAATTACTAATCTTTCTCCTCTGGCTTCCAAATCTCTCTCATGAGATGTGTGGAGTACTACATGAACTCTCATAACAGCTTTGCAGATCTCTTTATCCCACTCATCCCATTCATCTGAACTAGATTGAATTCAAGAGAACATTTAAACAATTCTTTCTGTCTGTGCTATGTCATCTTCATCTATCCCTGGGATATCATGTGGCTGCTAAGAAAGACCATCAGCATCAACATTAGCTTTGTCGGATTTATAAACGATGTCAAAATTATATAAGGACAAGGCTGCCACCCATCTATGGCCAGTTGCATCCAATTTTGCAGTCTTCAGGGTGTAAGTAAGATGGTTGTTATCTGTCATTACTTTAAATTGAGCTCCAAGAAATCATGGAACTTATCACAAACCACACCACTTCAAGGCTAGAAATTCTAACTTGTGAACTGGATAATTACATTCACTATTGCTCAATCCCCTACTGGCATAAGCAATAATTCATGCCTTTATA